GAAAATTTACTTGATAAGGCGAAGCTTTACACTAGAGATATACAAATATCATATTTGTTATATAATTTTTTCAACCTGACATGGGTAATAGTAGTGCTAAAAAAGACAGAATTTTCTGCTGTCCTTTTTGTTTTCTTTTCTTTGTCATTTTCTCTTTTATATTCTCTTTCGTATATGGTTTCTTTTTCTTTTATTTCTTTGTTTTTTCTTTTTACCTTGTTTTTTTTTGTCATATTTGTTTTCTTTTTGTTGATTTTATTTCCCCTATTTACTTTACCCCTTTAAAGAAGGAAAAATGTTAAAAAAAGGCAATCTTGACAAAGCTAGAAATAAGCTTATAGTGATTCTTTCAGGGAGCCATCTAGCAAGTTAGATGCCAGAGATAAATAAATTATTGTTGCAGTAGATCGCGCTTGGGCACTATTACGAGCAGCTGAGTGAGTCTTTATTGAAGAATAGAAGGGTGGAAGACATTGAGTTTATTGCAGGCTTTTTGTTCTGAAACTATGTATTTAGATTACACACTCCTAATACAATAAAAGCAGGATTGTCAAAGGTTAAAAAAAAAAGATAAAAGTTCACGTCAAATGGAATACTCAATTCTTATATTCTTGCTAAATAATATTGAACCCTTTCTTGTAGAATGAGATTATGTATTAGAAATAGTTGTTGACGGCAATTTAGATATAAATAAAACTTTGTCTAATGTTCCAATAGTTAATCGTATTTATGCTGATTTAAAACATATTAGTAAAAATATTAGAAAAGCATTATATAAGTATAAAAACTTTTTTTAATTTTTAAATTTAACTAACTATTATTATAAAATATAGTTAATAAAACCTACCAAAAATATTATAAATTTGAGCAGCATATTATGAGATACTTTAATGATTGTGTATTTGCAGCTAGATTGTGAAAAAATAATTCTAATGAAATAACACCAACACAATTAGACTTGCAAAAAGTTCAAACTGAAGGGTTAGTTCGGCATCTTCAAAATGATCATTCCTTATGTTGGCCTGAAGTTTGTAGGATTAAAGAAAATCCTGAATTAGAATTACAACAACCAACTTTAGAAAATTATTCAATAAATCAAATAAATGAATTTCAAAAAATGATTGAAACTATTTTTCGCTTATCAACTGGTTAGGAATTAGTTACAACATATCGGACTTCAATTAATGAATCCTTTAATCGAGTTAAATTAATATATTTGGATAAAAAAATTGATTTTTGGAAATTATTTGTTGGACATCATGCACTTGCTATTATCCATTATAATGATGGATATTTAAATATTTTAAAAATAATTCATAATGGATATAGTGAAAAAACATTTACAATACAAGATATAATTAATATTCAAAAAATAAAAAGTTTAAGAACTAATCAGCAAATTCAAAATATAAATAACATTAACTTATGCAATACAGAACGTGCTATAGTTTATGCAAATGAAAAAAATGAGTTACAAGAATTTGATTTTTCTCAGTATTAATATAATATTTAAAAATATTATATAGTGCTATTATTAAATCAATTAATATTAACAATAATCTAACTATCTAAAATTTTTAAATATTAAATTAGGAACTTGTACCTTATAAATTTAAAGGACAAGAATGTTTGCTAAAAAATAGTTTTTACCCATCTTTTGGAAATCTAATTAAAGATTTTGAAGTTATAAGTAAATGTCAAGGATGCTACGGATTTGAAAAAAAACATACAAATGGTCTTTGTAATTTATACAATTTATATATTAATATTGGACTTGAAAATAGAATAATTAATAATAATTATCAAAATCTTACTTGTAATTTAAATAAACTATCGTTATCTCAAGAATGTTTTATGAACAAAATTAAAATTGCCGCAAAAAATATCTATGGATTTGAGACATTAAAACTGGAACAAGAATTAGCTATAAATAATTATACAGTAAATCAAAAAGATACTTTTGTTCTAATGCGTACAGGTGGTGGAAAATCATTATGTTTTATATTGTCTGCAATATTGTTTGATGAATTAACTATAGTAATTAGCTCGCTAATAGCTTTAATGAAAAATCAAGTAGTTAGTAAATATAATTTAATATATTTTATATAGTATATTACTAATATTATTTATTACTTGCCTTTAGACAAAGTTAACTACATTAGGTATTCCAAGTACTGCCTTATATGCATCAAGTTTTGAAACTAAAACATGTAAAGAAAAGATTTTTGAAGAAATTGCAATAGGATTCTTAAAAATTCTATATGTTATTCCTGAAAAAATTGAAAAAAATACCAAATTTAAAATATTTTTAAATCATTTATATAATCAAAAAAAATTACATTTAGTTATTGATGAAGCTCACTGTATATTAAATTATAAGCATTTTCGGTTAGTTAAAATTTTTGTTAATAATATATAGTTTATATTAAAAATTTTGCCTATAATTTATATTAAAGAGATGTATGGAGTAAACTAGGTTTACTTAAACTAAATTATCCTGAAGTATCTTTATTACTGTTAACTGCTACTGCATCATCTACCAATATTGAAGCTATTTGAAAAAATCTAAATATTAAAAATGAAAGGTTTGAAATTGTAAAAAGTATAAATATGATACGCTATAAAATTTTATACAAAGTAATTAATAAGAAAAATAAAAAAGATAATGTAATCAAAGAAATGGCAGAAATGATAAAAAAAACTATAGAAGAAAAAGCAATAATATATTGTGCTAGAAAACAAGACTGTGAAGATATACAAGATGAATTGCAATTCAAGTTACCAACCTATTCATTAGATATATTTTATGGAGGTCTAAAAAGTGAAAAAAAAAAATATATTGAATAAATGAGAAAATAATAAAATTCAAGTAATAATAGCAACTACAATATTTGGAATGAGATTAGATATTTCAAATATTCGCTTAGTATTGCACTACATATTTCCGATTAGCTTAAGTATGCAATTTTATATTTTAATACAAATAAAATACCTTATAACTTACAATTTTTATTATAGCTGAATTGATACAACAATCAGGATGAGCTAGAAGTGATGGCAAATAAGCTCATGATGTAATATTCTTTAGCATGCGAGATCTAAGAACAAATTACTGTATTATAGCAGAAAATTAAGAAAGGTAAATTAAAAAAAAAATAAATTAATAAAATGAATAATTGTCTTATTTTATTATAAAATTTGATATAACAGTAATGAAATAGATGATATAAACATTATTTTTGAAAATTACCTTCAAGAAAAACCAAAAAAATTTGTTTGATATTTTACAATTTTGTATGTCTCGTTATGAATATCGACAACAACTATTATATACTTATTTATAGCCAGATAGTCATATAATTTCTGATTCATGTAATAAATGTGATAATTGTATTCGATATGAGGAAGAGAATCCGGAACTTCTTGATGCCACAGAAGAAGTGTATGAAATGTTAGAAGTTGCTGAGGTGTTAACGTCTGAATTTTCTGCTGAGATTTCTCCAGAGGATATAGTTGATATATTTAGTCGCTCTAATACAGAAAAAATCAGAAGAAATAAATATAATCAGTTAGTTTTGCATAAAAGAATTAAATTATATGAAGAAAAGAACCAACTATATTAATTCCAAAAGGGACAGCACAGATTGTACTAAATAACCTAGTATCCAAAGAAATAATAAAGTAAGAGATACAGTTACAAAAATCAAAAACAATACAGTATTTGTCATATAGTATAATAATAACTGGTATTAAAGAAGATGTAAAGAACATGTGCAATTGAATAGTTGGAAATATTGGATGCGAAATAGAAAAACAAAGAAGAGTAAAAAAAAAGCTTACTAGCTTTAGTTTGCAATCATAAAGAAATATTTTATTTTGATGTATTCATAATCCTTTAATTAAACATTTTTAGTAATATGTTATATAATAAATAAAATGCGAAGTATACAAATTAAAGCTAATTTTTAAATTACCATATATTAAAATATCTCTATCGCAAGTATACAACACTATATTAAACAATCCTCTCAAGCACCTTTTTGATCTATTTATCTAAACTCTACAGCTATTGTGATATAAATTTCTGTGTATTCTATAAATAATAACTTCCATATAATATTATAGTGATCCATTTAATTATACTTGTTGAATTATAGATTCTCATCTACTCTACGTATATATTGAAGATTCTAATTTTTACATTCGAATCATGTAAATTAACTAGTATCTATAATTTAATTTTTGTTAAATATTGCTTTATTCTATTTACAAAAACATTTGCTTCAAAAATCACAATAATAAATATTTACAGTAAATAAAAATGAAATATTATAATATATAATATCTTATAATTTCAATTTTCTAATCCAAGAAATATCAAATTCATTATAGTTACTATATGTTAAATTTTTATTGAATTAGTTACCATTAATATCTAAAAATACAATTATATAAATTTCAAATAAATGTGCAATACCTGCTAGAAGATACTCGACTTATATCTTCAAAACATATCTTTATTTCAAGTTTTTGCAAGCTTTAGACAATACTTTCACAGCAATAACTCTAGGTTGTATAAATATATGTATTTGTTGGTAGATAAAAAAAAATTTAGACTAAATTAGATACTAAATAATATTATAAATATACTTTGCCATAATAACGCATATTTTATAACAGATGAAATTATTTCATTCTATATACCATATTATGTACAGTACGTATATAAAGAGTTTGCAAAAAAAAAGTTTATATATTTTTTACTTTTTTTTATATGGTACGATCTGGTTTTAGAAGATCTATTGTTTCACAAACTGTATGTTGTCGATTACAAAAATTTGTCATTATGATAATAATAAAAATAATCGACATATACTCTACCCTTAATAGACTAAAATATTACAATAAAATATACATTCACAATGTTTATAAATTTACATTATTCTACTCTAAAATTTAAAAATATATTTATAATGTATGTTATACATTTAAATATTCTACTCTAAAATTTGAAATTTCTTAATACACTCAAAAGATATATTATCTTCTTTACTGATAATATTGTCTGAGTTAACTATCTATAAACGTATGGCTTTAAATTCATTATGACTAATAAATCTGCTTGAATAAACTGCCTAAGAATGTACAAAATCTAAATCATTATTGCTAATAAATCGGCTTGAGTAAATAGTTTGAAGATGTATAGAATCTAATTCATTATTATTATATACTGTTTTATCAGCATGTTCAAATTCTAATAAAAAGCTTGCTTCATTTTTCCAGAGTTGAATAAGTTTAAAAATTTCAGAAACTTCTAGCTATTTTTTTGAATCATTATCCCAGCATCTTTTCATAAAATCATTATAGCATTGTGGTACATTTTTAACAACAGCCAGCCTCAATCCTTGGCAAACTTCTATAAGAAGACAAATATCATGTTTTTTATCTGAAAATGATAGCCTTCCTAATGATATTTCCATATAATCATGCCTTTTCTGCATAAAACTTCTGGAGCTATATATGGAAATGCTCCATAAATTCAATTAGACCTCATAAATATTTTATTAATTGATTCTAAAAGTCCTAGGTTACTGATATATGCATTAAAAAAATAATCTTGTAATATGTTTCTGCTATACAAATCACAATGTATAATCTTATGACTATGAATTGTTTGTAGATCTTCAGTGACATGTGATAATAGATTTAGCTTTAATTTCCATTGTACCTGTGCAACATTGTGAAGATTTTGACACAAAGAACCTTTTTGTGTATATTGTATCACTAAAATATAATTATTGATAGTTTTCTCATCTCTACAGTGCTGGACAAAAGTAATTTGCACTCTTATCTCCTTACTGAGAGGTTCTACAGCCTTAAAACTTTCCAAAAACTTAGTAAACAATTAGTCTAAATTATGTATTTTTTTTGAAATTTTTCAATTACTAGAAAAAATTTTAGATGAGAGCTAAAGTTTTGAATAGTTTTTTGACAAAAAATAAAAAAAATTAATTGGGTTCAGTTAAAAATTAATAAAAAATCAAGATTATGTTCAAAAAATTTAAGACTTTAGTATGTTAAAATTTAATGAATTTATAATAGTGACAAAAAATTTGCCTCAATTTGATAAGATAGTTGTTGAGAAATTAATTTTTAAAGTTTAAATTTTATTATCACGACATACCATCAAAAAAATTTTGTTACAAATAGGTTTTTATTAATAATTAATTATATAGTAAAATTAATAAAAACCTATTCATAACAAAATTTTTTAATAGTATGTTGTAATAATGAAATTTAAACTTTAAAAATTAATTTCTCAACAACTACCTTATCAAATTGAATCAAATTTTTTGTCACTTTATAAAAATCATTAAATTTTAACATACTAAAGTCTTAAATTTTTTGAACATAATCCTGATTTTTTATTAATTTTTAACTAAACCCAATTAATTTTTTTATTTTTTATCAAAAAACTATTCAAAACTTTAGCTCTTATCTAAATTTTTTCTAGTAATTGAAAAGTTACCAAAAAAATACATAATCTAGCTAATTGTTTATTAAGTTTTTGAAAAGTTTCAAGGCTGTAGAACCTCTCAGTAAGGAGCTAAGAGTGCAGAATTACTTTTGTCTAGCACTGTAGTTATTTTATAGCATTATAAAAATTTTGAATTTTTACCAAAATGATCACAATACAGATTCTAATAATAAGCATTGTCAATCTCATAAATGTTTCTGAACACTTTTTATACCCCTCATATTGTGTCTTAAAGGTTACTGAAAACATTGCAACAAAAAATAATTATATATAATAAAACAAAATTATATGTATATATACCAAACCATGGTAATCTTTTCTCTATTGAAATGATCTATGCAGCCTATTCTTTTCTATTGAAATTTCTCTAATTATTGAAATGATCCATATAGTTACTAAACTAAATGTAATACCAATTCTGGCTATTGCTATCACTATTGTAACTTTTTTAAAGGGTTTTTTTTCAAAAAATTGCTGAAAAAAATCAAGCTAATAAAAAGTGTTACAATATACAGTAATAAAGAATTCTCTAATATAAACAAGTAGCTAAAGGTAAACAATAAAATAAGAATAATAAGCATAAACAAATGTGAAATAAAAGGTACTCTCCTAATAATTAAAAAGGCAGAAAAAGAAAACCAAAATTACTAATTCTTAAAAATATCAAACTTTGCCTAGAATAATTGTGAAAAAATATATTCTAAATAAATCAAATATTCAACTACAATAAAAACATATTCAGCTAAATTTTGAAATATATTAACTGACATTTGAAATGTATAAATTTGAAAAGCATCAATTTCATAGTATGCCAATAATTCTATACTTATAAGAATGCTAACTAATCTCAAACTAAAATAAACCTTGTTACAACTAAATATACTAGATTCAAAATAAAAATTTCCAAGTTAAGCATTTTATGTTTATAAATAAATATCATAAAGTGCCATACAGTAGATCCCCCAATGAGATATACTATGTGATGATTTGTGAGCTTAAATTTGATTTATATCCGGGTACAATCATAGTAAAGTTCAATGAGTAATACCCCTATACTTTGGGGAATACCCGGGGTGCAATTTTTGTACAATATACTCTTCTACTTAATTACCTGGGTACAGCTTAAGACATTATTTTCTGAAATTATACCCCTGATCAATACAATATACCCCCTACTTAAGTACTCCAGGTATATCTCAAAACATTGTAAATATCTGGATATAATAGTTGGCACTTTACGGTATTTGAATTGACTCTATTTTGTGATGCATCATTATTATTGATAATATTTCCTATATATATTAAAGATAAATGCTAAATTTTAATAGTATTAAAAAAAGGGTTTTTTAATATAGTGCATGTGCACAGCAGTGCACCCCTAGCTGTATCTCCAAATTTTACTAAAGTAACCCCTGTCATGCGACTAACAAAAAATATTTCTATTACAATTTTACCTAAACCTAATCTAAACCCTAACCCTAACTCTAACTAATCCTAACTTTACTTTTTTACTAGGGTAACCCTTGTCATGTAACTAAATAAAAATGCTCCTCTCGCAATTTTATATAACCCTAGCCCAAACTCTAACCCTAACCCTAACTCTAACTCTAACTTTAACTAATCTTAACTTATTATTTTGCTATAGAGGGTGCACTGCAGTGCATGGTACAAAACATTAATAATTCCTTAAAAAAAATTGTATCATTAATTTAAAAAATAACAATGATTATCAAAAGCAACTATCATTTGATCCTGATATAAGTTAGCAGTATGGTATAATAAATTAGATAGTTGATTTCCAGAAGGATGATGTTCTAAATATATAAATTTATATTTAAAACTAAAAGATTACAGAGCTCAATATATATATGCCTCAATATTTAACACAAGAAAATTTGGTTTATTTAATTAGCTAAAACCAAGTATTACAATTAAATTTCATAATTTGTTAAATCTAATTAGTGATTAAAAATAACAATTTCTCATAAACTTGAAGTTCATTATAACAAAATAATTGATTTACTATCTGGTGCTAGGATTGTTGTGTAGCCTATTTGAGAAAGAATGGTAATGATGTATCTGCTT